CAATCCCCAACATTCTGTGATTCTGTGTGTATCCCATTGAAATTTCCTTTGCTGCAAGTTATGAACATGGTTCTTTGAAAAACATGTTTATGGCATCTCTGTAACCACCTGGGCACACTACACCACAACCTGAATACTGAACAAATACTGAGCAGAGGAGAAGGATCACTTCCCTGGACCTACTGGTGACATTCTTGCTAATACAGCCCACAGTGTGGTTGGCTGTCATCACTGCAAGGGTGTTCAGCCGGCTGCCCACCACTAATCCAGGCCACCTTCTGCAAAACTGCTTTCTAGATGGTCAGTGCCCAGCCTGTACTGGTGCATGGCATTATTCTGTCTCAGATACAGAATTTTGTGTTTTCATTTGTTGATCTTCTTGAGCTTTTTGTCGCCATATTTCTCTAGTTTGTCAAGACCTTTCTGAGTGGCAGTCATACCCTCTAGTGTATTGATTCCTCTTCCCAGTTTGGTGTCATTTGCTTATTTAATCTATTTTTTAATTAACTTTTGTAAAGTATGAGTTACTATTATCTTTATTCCACAGGTGGGAGTCGTGCACAGAAATACTACAGGATTTATCCAAAACCATATTGTTTGCTAGAATTATATATTGAACACTGATCCAGCGTGTCAGATGGTTGGGTTTTTTCCTACTAAACTATCCTTTCTTATAGTGGCATCTCCTGGGGAGCAAAGAAGTAGATTAAGAAATGGTCAGGTTAAAAGGTTGTGCTCATAGGTAAGAAGTGTTACAGACTTGCCTAAATGTGGATAGAATAAAGATATCTAATTTCTCAATCAGGTTCAAAGTATTTTTTGATTCTTTGCATCTCTGAATCTGAAGGTCAAATTGGAGTTTGTAAAAGGTCCATCCAGGATTGATAGCCATTCTTCTCAAAAGCATTAGATAGGAGAAGATGTGGTTTGGTTGGGTTTTTTTTTCCCTTGAGAGAAAAAATACCCTTAGCTTTTAAGCCCTCCTTGAAGTATTTTTATTGCTCACCTCCTACCCTTTCTCCTGTACCTGTTTAGGGATTGTTTGAAGAAGTACAAAACCAAGCTTTTGCTCAATGCAATTTGTTTACATTCAGATCTTTTAATATTTTTTTTCCATTAAACAGAGTGAGATGGACAGGAATAAAAAACCTATTGCTGTTACCAGGCTCCAACCAGACCTACTTACAGAAGCACAGCCCTGTAATACAGGTGCAGAACCTCCCAAGAAGGATGCCTTTACTTCTACAGAATGTTATGAAGAGCTGCTAAATAAGAGATGGCTGGAGGAAGACAGGTATCGTAGGTTAGACGATGAGATTGAATTAAGAAGTCGACTATTAAATAAAAGACTTGATGAAGATTTGGATGTTCCCAATCGAAGACATCGTGGATTTGCTAGCCAATCTGTAATTCCTATTAGGAAGCATCACAGACTTGATGAGGATCGTGATTTTGGTAGAAGATACTACAGAATGGATTATGATCCTGAGATAAGTGAAGAAACGGACCCTAGATTTAGATGTGAAAGCGCTTATGACAGAAAAACTCCCCGAGTTTTTTATGCTGAAAGGTATTCTTAATTCTGTTTTCTCCTTTATTTCTGTAGTGCTTCTTGACAGCCATGGTTGTATATTATGGCAAACCAAGGATACTAGAGAAATTATCCCAGAAAAAGAAGCCCAGAGTTCATTTTTAGTAGTTTGCCAGAAAACACGTTAGTATCCCAGAAAAAGAAGCCCAGAGTTCATTTTTATGAAGAGTAGTTTGCCAGAAAACATGTTAGTGTTTGCGAGCAAAACCCTGCGCTGGGAACCCCAGATTACATGTATTTTCTTTGTCTGTGATAGTTGCAGCAAGTCAATTTCAGTTCAGATTCCAGAATTGGTTTGAGCTTCAATGTTTGGTACATGCCACTATGTGTCAGAAATGTAAAAAATACATTTAAAAAGACCCCTTTTTTTACTGCATAGAATAGTTTGGGTTGGAAGGGACCTTAAAGATCATCTAATAACAACCCCCCTGCTATGAGCAGGGACACCTTCCACTAGACCAGGTTGCTCAAAGCCTCATCCAACCTGGCCGAGAACACTTCCAGAGAGGGGGCATCCACAGCCTCCCTGGGCAACCTGTTCCAGTGTCTGACCACCCTCACAGTAAGGAATTTCTTCCTAATATCTAATCTAAACCTCCCCTCTTCCAGTTTAAAGCCATTTCGCCTTGTTCTGTCACCACTTGCCCTTGTAAAAAGTCCCTCCCCAGCTTTGGGTCTTGCTAAATGGCAGACTTTAAACATACACATAGTTGAACCAAATCCTGCTGGTGTTAATAGGTGCTAATCTTGGTGATAACTACACAATCTGAATAAACATTTAAGTAAACCCAAACCAAAGAGGGTGATTTAGAGAAGTCATTCAGGAGGACCTGATACTGCGTACTGTTCTTTATTGAATAATCTTTACTGTCTTAACTGATAAATCAGTTTGGTTACTTTGACATAAATTGTTAATCTTCTAGCTCAGTCATTTAAAAGAAAAAAAAATAAAATCCTAACCTTCCCAATCATTCAGGGTTTGGCAATCTGGTCATCTTTGGTTATTCCATTGCGAGAACTGGTTCCTTTCAAAAATGGATTGTGCTGTGGAATAGACCAAACTTGAAACAGACATGTTTTATACTGCTAAACTCAAATGAAACAAACCCGTAAAGTTTCCTATAAATAAATTTTAAAAAGGTGCTTGAAGAGTGTTCATTTGTTCACTTTACAGATCTTGGGAACATGAGTGTTGTAGATGCTTTTTGTTTTTTTGTTTTTTTTTTTTTTTTGCCTTTGAGTTAAGTCTGTCGCCAGAATTATTTTGCTGCAGTTACCTCAGTGAAGAAAACGCTGTTATGCAAAATAACCACATTTTTTTCTAGACTCAACACTTCTAGAAAAAACAAAAGGCAAATTGTACTACTCTCAACAGTGTTAAATATTATGATCATGTTTTGTTGTTAATTGCTGGTGGACTGGTTAGGTGATCTTTTGAGTCATTGTTTACAGGGGTAATTTTCTGGATAGTACTGCAAATTATCAACTGGGAAAAACAAATCCTAAAATACTCCTCTACTACAAAAGCATTTTCTGAATTGAATGAAGTCATGCTTCTTTTCTACTTTCAAAAGTCAATAGAGTTAAAATGACTTATTTACAAAAATAGCTTTTAATATTTTCTCGTCCTTTTTAAAAGTAAAAACTTAGAGGAATTAAGTAACTGTGGAGAAGACGAATTATCTGAAAGCATTTGGGAGATGCAGACTAAATATATGGGTTATTTCAGAGTTTCAGATTATATGTTAAGATATGCTTCTAAAAGCATGTATTTATTCGTACAATGTTTCTGAAAAAGACTAGCAAATGGAAACAGTGGTTAAATAGATAGCAGGAACAAGATTGCCTGTTTTCTGCTGAATGAGATTCAGAGAAGAGAATGCAAAATATAAAAATTGTTCCATCCTGTAGTGTAATATTGGTAGAAATGAGCAAAGGAGGTTTTAGGGTAGGGTCTTCTTGTCCTACAACTTTTCATAAACCAAAATATTAGAAGCTTGACTTAGTGTCTAACAAAGATAACCAAAATGTCCGTATTTTTGAGACTAACAGCAATGTTAATCCTCTGTGTTAATTAACACCCAGAAGGATGAATGTTCTCTTCTTACTAGGTAGCTGTTTGCCACTGTCTAGTGCAATTGGACACAGAGTCTAATATTTAAACAAAAATTACCATTTGATAAAGTTTGAGAGTTTACTTTGTTTCTCAAAGAATATAGACAGAATTATATATGTAAAATATCAGCAAGGGTGGTGTTTGAACCAGTAGTAGACAGTATCATGTTGAACAGAAGTATACTAGTTCTTAGTTATATTCCAGAAAACACTGATGGTCCTTATATAAATGTCTGTGACTAATATATCACTAAGCAATTCATTACTTATTTGGAGAGGCCTCTGAAACAGTTTTAGTTCCAGTTTTCTTTTAAAAGAAAATACAGAAGATAGTCTTATCTTTGTTATTGGCAAGCTTGATGCATCTTCTTAAAAGAAGTTGCTGGATCATCATCTGAATTGCCTGAACTTAAATTTGTACATAAAATTAACGTTTTACTTTTTTGGTGTGTATTTTCCATTTTGCTGAATTTTTATTGAAAATTACTTTTTTTTTTAAATTAAATGTGCTTTGTAATCTAGTACTTTTATTCTCCTTAGCAAGGAGCTCCACTTAACCTTTTATGAGCTATATTCAATCTCTCTTCAAGAAGGAGAAACACGTCTAGTAGTTACTGACAGTTCAGCTTCTGAAGAGTTGGCATTTTTTTCTACGTTTCAGGCAAAGTCAACTTTTTCAGAATACATTAGATCCATGACAGAAACTAAATTCATAAGGAAGAATATTTTTATTTGCTGTACTAAAGTTTTCATGTTTTTAGTGGGCTTTATTAGTTTGGAGAGGCAGGTGTTTGTAACGGGACTTTTCTGAAAGGTTTCTGTTTCAACAGAGGCACAAGGACTGTGCTGTATTTCAGCAAATAGAAGTGGTGACAGGAAGGTGCAAGGAAGTGCAAAATATTTTGATTGTTGTGAGTAGAATGATTTAGTTCTATCCCCAGCAGCCAGATCTGTCCTCAAACAGGATAAAACGGCTTCTTGATTGAATTGGGCCAATATGTCTGGACCTGCCATGCTAAGCTTGCTGCTTTTTACAAAAAAGGTTGCCTCTTGAATCCCAGGGTTTGTTTCTTTGCTTCCTCCCTGCACCTTTTCATCATGCTATGGACTAGGCTTTCTATTTCCTGACTGTTTTTCAGTCTTATGGGACCAGGTTTGTATGCAGCAGATTGGTTATTATCAAAAAGATGATCTTGATTGTGAAAGAAGATCATGTTATGCCAAGAGGATGGATGTTATTCTTTCATGTTGTTCTTGTGGTTGTTAAGATGCCAAATTAATGTTTAATAATCTGCTTGCATGCTTTTGCCTTTGATTATTGGCTTTTATTTAAATTACAGAGATGGGCAGAGCTGTAGATCTTCTTACATGAAAGAATAAGATGTGTTTTCCTAGGGATTTTTTTGTTTGTTTACTTGCTTAATAGGAAGTCCATGGCTCTGTCCAGTTCTGAAAAGTATGTAACTTTGTTATCATCTATTGGGTGCTATTTTTTGTTGAATATCTATTTTTGTTTCCTTTTATCAAGGTAACTTGAAGTCCTCATTAAAGAGTATTTAATTTGTAAGGCAAGAAAAACCTGTAAATTCAACTGCTGCAGATGTTTTCAGGAAAAGCTCCCTTTTGTCCATACAGTTTTTGTTATCTTTGGAATTATTTCAAGTTTCGATTATATTACTTCACTTAATATGTAGATGGTTCAAATTTTAGCCCCAGAATTTTTGTATTCACCACGTTACCTGTGTTTTATATTGATCAAAAGTCACCTCTCTTTAAATGGTATCAGGTGCACAGTGAAGGGTGAGTTGTCATTAAAGAAGCTTTTCATATCTGAATGAACTGTTTCATCAGACTTGCCCAGTGGCTGTGTGCTGAAATCCGTTGTAGACTTGGTTGGCTTCTTGGGATTAAAAGCAGCAAGATCTGTGTCAATGCAGTGTGAGTGCTGAACATTCTTCAGCTCTAAAATTTAACCAGGCTCAATAGATAAAGGTGGAATGAAAGCAGGCTTGAGAATTCATGCTCCAGACAGACACCTGCATTGACAGTGTTAGCAAAGTCAGTTATATCTAGAAATTTTGCGTGATCTTTTCCGAACCAGTTCTCCTGTCCAGTGTGCAATCAGGCTGAGGATCCATTTGCATGGAACTGCTAGACCTTCTATTTCAAATTAGATGTTTATTAGATGTTTTTAGGCAAACATAGCTGACTGTTTTTTATTTCTTTAAGGCCCTATCCGGATGGAGTAGTAAGAGATCTACCTGCAGATTATGAAGACGAATTAAAGGAGAGAGTACGTCTGCAGCAGATCTCAAGAGCTGGAAATTCCAGGTGTGTTATAAAGTGTATTTTTCTGATAGTTGCACTACAAAGTCATGGTGAAAGGAAAAGCCTTAATATGTTGTCTGAAACGGCTATAGTTTTTTCCTGCAGCTAGGATATATTAGAACAAGAAAAACATGTTTCTTTTGAGAACAGCTTTTGAAGCATGGATGCCAGGTTTTTGGGGGTTTTTTGTTGTTTTTTTTTTTTTTTTTAAACAAAGATCACTTATTCTCCAGCTGAAGACTCTTACTGATAACAATAACATGGAATCCCTTTCTGATAGTAGTTTTAAAATTCCTTTTTTCGTCTTGTCTTGGTTTTGCAAGTCCTGAAGTGTTCTAAGTGGATGAGGCAGAAGCAGAACACCTGTAAAGCCCTTTCATAAACTCTTCACTGGCACCACTCAGTCTGTCAACATTGTTGAAGTGCTCAACTGAGTCAGTGTTTCTGATGGCTTCAGAAACTGCAGGCAAATGAGAACTGTGAGAAATGCCTTTTTGACAGGCAGTTTCTTCTTTTGCTTGTGATATTTCTTTGGATTTTAGGAAAGCTGTTTATCATAAATGAATCACGTAGTGATATAAGTGCATCTATCGTGTCTCACACAGGCTGCAAATAAATTATTGAGTTTGATCTTTCCATTTTCTTTTTTTGTCTTTGCCAGAAATCAGGTACAAATTAGTTCTTCAGCTAATGAACAGGCCAAGTCTGCAGCTGAAACGCTGTATGCAACAAGCCTCGTTCTTGGTATGTATAAAAACCTAACAAACAACACCAAGCTGGTGTTTCTTTGGATATTTTTTATTTGGGAATAATTAAAAGCTAGACAAATTAGCTTTTCTTTGTGCTAGTTGTCCCCAAGACTGCTAAATAAATATTATTTACATAGAGAAAATAAAAAGAGAAAAACGTGTTTGTTTTCCCCCTTGATGTAGCAGGGCTCTCTAATTAATTTTGAAGAGCCCAGTTTTTTTCTTAGATTTCATTAACAGTTTAAGGCCCAGATACATTCTTAAGTTTTTTTACTAAATGAAGTATAAGAGAAATATTAACTTCTGTATTGTTAAAGGTATGACTTGGTATTGAATTTTAATTGCAGAAATATGGGAAATGGTACTGTTAGTAACCTTGTGCAAGAACAAATTATTCTGATAATCTCTTACCGCTTAAATGTAGCCATAAAATTTAGCAGGGAACATTATTATTGAGCATAGTAGAAAGAAATACTGTTGACAGCAGAGCATTCCTAGCTAAATTCGGAAAATTACAAGGCAAGAATAAAAGGACTGTAGTAGTTCTTCAGATGGGAGCCGTTGAAGGCAAGCTAGGTTTGAACTGTGGAAAAATTGAGTAACAGTTGTCAGAATAATGTTTATTTATGTTTACATTTACATTTGAATCTAGAATCACAGAATGGTTTGGGTTGGAAGGGACCTTTAAAGGTCATCTAGTCCAACCCCCCTGCAATGAGCGGGGACATCTTCAACTGGACCAGCTTGCTCAGGGAACCCATCCAGCCTGACCTTGAATGTTTCCAGGGATGGGGCATCTATCACCTCTCTGGGCAACCAGTTCCAGTGTTTTACCACCCTCATTGTAAAAAATTTCTTCCTAATATCTAGTCTGAATCTACCCTCTTTTAGTTTAAAACCATTACCCCTTGTTCTATCGCTGCAGGCCCTTCGAAAAAGTTTGTCCCCTTCTTTCTTATAGGAATCCTTTAACTATTGAAAGGTTGCAATAAGGTCTCCCCAGAGCCTTCTCCAACTCTCTCAGCCTTTCTTCATAGGAGAGATGTTCCATCCCTCTGATCATTTTTGTAGTCCTCCTCTGGATGCACTCCAGCAGGTCCATGTATTTCTTGATCTGAGGACTCCAGAGCTGGACCCAGTTTTCTAGGTGAGGTCTCACCAGAGCAGAGTAGAGGTGCAGAATCACCTACCTTGACCTCCTGGCCTACCAGAGCAGAGTGGAGGGGCAGAATCACCTGCCTTGACCTGTTGGCCACACTTCTTTTGATACAGCCCAGGATACAGTTGGCTTTCTGGGCTGTGAGCACTCATTGCCAACTCACGTCCAGCTTTTCAGCCACCAGTACCCCCAAGTCCTTCTCGGCAGGGCTGCTCTCAATGCCTTCATCCCCTGGTCTGTATTGATACCAGGGTTTGCCCTGACCCAAGTGCAGGACCTTGCACTTGGCCTTGTTGAACCTCATGCAATTCACACGAGCCCACTTCTCAGGCTTGTCAAGGTCCCTCAGTCGTGTCAACTGCACCACTCAGCTTACTGCTTAGTGCCTTTGTATAGCTTCTATGAGGATCTGTTCCATCATCTTCCCAGGCGCAGAGGTGAGGCTGACAGGTAGGTAGTTTCCAGGGTCCTCCTTTATACTCTTTATAAAAATGGGTGCAACATTTCCCTTTTTCCAGTCACTAGGGACTTCACCTGACTGCCAGGATTTTTGAACTATCATGGGGAGTGGCTTGGCGGCCCCTAGGACCTTCCCCGGCCTGCCAGGATTTTTGAACTATCATGGGGAGTGGCTTGGCAACTACATCAGCCAATTCCCTCAGGACTTGGGATGCATCTTGTTAGGTCCTGTAGACTTAGATATGTTTAAATTCCTTAGGTGGTCACAAACCTGATCATCTTTTACAGTAAGGGCTATTTTCCTTCCTCCTGAGTCCTTGCCCAGCATTCCATCCACATGAGAGCTGTGGGAAGAGAGGCTGGCACA